CCAAGGTCGACACCTATAATCTGGTTTGGTCCCTTACCATAGCCTCTATGAAGCACACCTTCAACGAAAAAAAAAATACAGAAATGGTCTCTGTATGCTTATTGACCCTGATGTTTGATTAATAATCTTCTTAAAGAAACCTTCCAAAATGTTAATTATACAGGTCAAATCGAAGTGTTTGAAATAAAAAATTGGAAAAAAATGGAACTGTTGAAATTTCTCTAAGCTATGATTTCATAATCTTATTCTATTTGTGATTTCCAAGCTTCGGGGAATATTATCTTCCTCAATTGGCCAATAATATACTAAATTTCTATAGAAAAATAGCGTATACCAAACTTCTATTGACTTTGTTCGCCAATTTCCAAAAGAGTGTAAAGAAGAACATTGTAAATCGAGTGACGGAAAAAAAAATGCAACATGAAGGAAAATGATTCAGGGGAGGGAATCATTCTTTGTTTGCCTATTTCGTATATTACTTGTCTTGCTTATTGTCTTTTAGCAGATGACATGCTAAATCAAATTACCAGCAAATCAGGCATGAAGTGGGCATTTAGTATCTGCTAGAGGAGAATTTCACAGTATAGGCTTCTTTATAAAACAAGGCAATGTTTATCCGAGGAAGCCGATTACTTGGGGATATGACTATAACCAATATCCCAGGTTTCAAAACCATGTTTGGGTGCCAAAACAGAGACAGATCCGCTTAAATGATCGCTCGGGCAGTCTAAAGATTCGGGATGAGTTGGAAAATCTGATCCTTCTTCGACAGGTGAGTGAGGATAGTATGCGTGGTCTACCGGTATCCGAATATATCGTCCAATGAAGCCTACGGATTGCACAACTCTTTAGGACTCTGGAAAATTATTGTTTTTGGAAAAGGTTGGAAAATCGGGGTGAGGAACACGAAAAAAGTTATATTTGGGCAAGAGCTTTGAATTATATACTTCAATACGCTGATAGGTCTGGTATGAAGCTGAGGATGGGATTGAGAGTCGGTTTTGACCGGTATTTGACAAATCGTGGTAAGAGCGCAGATGACCCTTTCTCCCGGTGATATCCTCCTTTCGGTGAGAATCTTGATGTTCACGTCCACAAGACGTGTTATTACGTAAAGGGTTCTGTTAGATACCGAAGTGGGTTATGGAACGGTCTGCAAGTTTTAATGGAGAGTGTGCTTTGAAAAACACTGCTTTCAAAGACTAATTTCATCGATATAATTCAGAGGAGTGTAAGGTATTTTCGAGTTGAATCATCATCAAACAGCTAATAAGGTGGTTTTGAATCACCGACCGGGACAAAAGCAAGTGTGATCTGAACAACTAGAAACCTAGTGAGGTGGGTTGACATAGTTACAAAAACCTTAGTTGTTCCATGTAAAGTATGGGCATTGCGCCCTAAATTCTATTTGCACAATCTCTAATGCTTCATATGTAGTGATGGATGGATACATTTCCTTAAATCATTCGCAAAGATTCGGAAGCGTTGTTATGGAATGGTGGGTAGCCGTCTCGCAGCAATACCATTTAAATCATGTTCGGATGGGCAAAAAGGATTATTGGCATTTCGACGGTAGGCGTGATCGTCCCTATTTTGTTAGATTTTTGGATGACACCAGTATGACAGTTAAACGAATGTGAATTGGAGTGGTTATAAAGAATTGTTTCTTGTGTACTGCTTATGACTAAGCGTCGACATCTGGCGAGTAGGAAATGGCATGCTCTGGTATGGGGATCTGTTGATATTAGAAGCTTCCCAAATCCGGCGTGATAAACTCTGTATATTCGGGTTACAGCTGCAGACCATGAGTACGTTCTTGTGATTTAGTGTATCAATAATTCGTAGGCTGAGATAAATTTGGCCAAACACAAAACTGGAGCGACGAGATTTTGTGTATTTTTATTTTTATTTTAAATTAATTTTCAACTGGATTGGTGGTTTGTGTGGTCTAGATCAGATCCAAGGGAGAAGAAGAAGCACCGCTCGTGTGGTGTATTACCCCCATCTCAGTAGCTTTGTTGTGTGTTCCTGCCTTGTTCTTGATAATATGGATAGAGGATAAAAAACCAAAGAGGTAAATCTACGGTTCTTATACTTTGCGTTGCAGAGTTAATTTTATGCGGGAATACATGAGTACTAAAGATTCCTTAGTTCCCATGTTAATTAATGAATAGAACTATAAAACAAAATAGAATGGAAAGCAACAACAAATGGATCAAGAATATAGAGAGTTAATTATTTCTATTATTATCCTCAATAGTGGAAGACTGAAAATGTATACATAATAAAGAGTTTATTATCGACTTGTTCTTAATGAATCTCGTATTATACATATTTATATTAATACTAACAAGTCCACATGTTGCTGATTTGTCTCTTGGGACCTTTTAAAGCTCATTTCGGCGGAACACACTAATTGTTGATAATTTATTCATTCTTTAATTTGTTAAACAACCAGAAATTTAAAGAATTTCCTTAGTTTCAACGGAACTTTGGCAATTTTTTTTTCTGACTAGAAATGTGGCAAACCCTGAATCTAACAAACAAGTGATTGGAAATGACTATTTGTTCTCGTTTGGAGTTTACTTATCAGAGTTTATTCTTTTGCTTGACTACATGGTTTCTTCCATTGGCCTCTGTCAAAGACAACACATTGAAATGACTCGCATTATCTTTTAATCCTATATTTTCATGGATGGTTCTTTGATAAGATAGTTTGACAAATAATTGTTGAGGGTCTACTTCCTCTGCATCTAGTTTCGGGATAGTTTTTTTTTTTTTTTATCGGCAAAAGAAAGAAGAGCCTTTGTTGATTGAAATCAACATACAATGCATTATGAAATACATCAACCAAAGGGAAGTGCAACAGAGCAAAAAGGCAATCAAAGTGTATCTCCCAAAATCCCATTAGGTTGGCCTGTTGAAGAAACCTCAATCATTCTGCATAGCTCAAGCCTAAAACACGTTGGTTGAGAGAACGCAATAGAAAAGGTAAGGGGGGAATAGATCAGAAGAAACCAACCAGACTATGAGGATAGAAACAGCAGCAACCCAGGATATGAAACAACACTAACAAACTGAGCTAGCGAGATCAAACAGCCAAAACTAAGCAAAGGCAAAAAACAAGAAAATCAGCAACCGAAGGATCAACACAATCACACTCTCCTCTGTTTCACAGCTTTCAAATTTGTTCAGATACATTTTCTCACTGTTGTTGTTTGACACAATACAATCTATGAGTAGAAGCAACCTATGTCCTGTGCTTTCATCCATAAGGCCACCCTAACTTTGATAAGCTCAGATAGCTCCTCAATGCTTGGTTGTGTGCCATTGGAAAACACAATAATTTCTGAACTCTCCACGAGGACCAAATTACTGATATAAGAAAGCTCTCCAAACTTGCCTTCCTTCTTTCTAACCTCCACCGCCAACCACCACTGTATCAGACTTTCCAATGACCCTGCTATGACCCACTTAATACCCACCAATCCATAATATTTTACCAAACTTGCCACACAAAGCGGCAGTACAATAAAACATGATTCAATGTTTCCACTTTCAGCTTTGCCTAGTACACAGGAAAATCACATTACCCCTCACACCCCTATTCTACTTGGGAATGAAGCTGAGGTCTGTTCACACTAAAGTTTTGGATAATTGATGATCTTAGTATTAAGTGCTCTAGTTCTAGGAAGGGTTTGAAGTTTTGTTGTTTTATTTGACCCTAGATGTGCAAGACGAGATTTGTTTAAACTTGGGTTAGTTTGTGTGTTTCCCTAAAGATAGCAAGACAGAGGTCAGGCTCACTTAAGAATGATTAAAATGGCTGGACATTTTGATGAATGGTGTTACAATAGCTAGAATAATATGTCAAACCAATTTTCTAATAGCTTAAGCTTTTGTGACCAATTGATAATCTAGCACTTTACTTTGAATAGAAAAATAACAAGGGTTTGTGCATATTCCTACTATAACTTTTATCTAGATTGATATGCGAGGAGCAATTAAAAGTGAATGTTCTTGTAATGTACCATTCCCCACCCCCCCCCCCCCTTCCAGATTTAGGGCCATCTCTTCTGTTTTTCTTCTATACATTAAATAAAGCAAATTCCTTGTAAAACTTATGCAATCAAGGTCTTCTCGAATTCACGCCCATTGTGGAAACAAATATAACCATGTTTCAAGTTGTTTCCAGATCTTCCTATCTGTTGTGATCGACGGTTCACTGGCCAACATTCCATTCAAAGATGATGAAAAACATAGACTTGCCCATTTCAATATAGTCCAATTGCGAAATGCTACAACAACTTTTTCCTATTCTAATAAGATTGGAGAAGGTTCGGACCAGTTTACGACGGTAATTGAATTGCACTTACTAAAGTCATATAATTTTCTGTGCTGCGTGTTTGTGAAAAAAGTGTAAATTCAAATCTTTGTCTTGAGGTTAAAAAAATCTGGTTTTTCTTGTTGTTTGTTTCGTCGCTCTTCTATGTAGTGTAGACTTGCCTAGGTGGCGCCCCATATCTATCTAGGTGGCTTCACCTTAGATATTTTGTTTGGTGAATGCCCATGTATGATGTTTTTATCTTCAATCTTATTTACTTCTCACTTCCCAAAAACAAAAAAACAAAAAAAAAAAAAGGCTTGTGTATTTCCATAGGGTCAGCTATCAACTGGACAAGTGATAGCAGTAAAGAGGCTCTCGGAGAATTCTAAACAAGGGGTTGGTGAATTTAAAAATGAGGTTATCTTGATTGCCAAGCTTCAGCACCGAAATCTTGTTAGACTTTTGGGATGTTGCATTCAAGGAGAAGAGAGGATGTTGATCTATGAGTATTTGCCCAACGGCAGCTTGAGCTCCTTTATTTTTGGTTTGATCTTCGACCTTTCTTCTAACTTCTTTAATTGAATGTTGAAAACAAACTACACACTACTCGAAGTTGTATATCAGTATGTCAATTATTGAACGCAAAACTAATATTCTATACAAATGCATCTCTTAATCTATGTGCTAGATACTACAAAAAGTAACTCTCTTGAATGGAGGAAACGCTTGGATATTATTATGGGGATTGCTCGAGGGCTTCTCTACCTTCATCGAGATTCAAGACTGAGAATTATTCATAGGGATCTCAAAGCTAGCAATGTGCTACTAGACAATGAGATGAATCCCAAGATTTCAGACTTCGGCATTGCTAGAGCTTTTGGAGGAGATCAAATATCGGAGAAAACAAGAAGGGTGATTGGAACTTAGTAAGTACCCAAAAGATTTCTTACATATACTTACCCAACTTCAAGTTTCACTGACTTATTTCTTGATTTATTAATTTGATTATGGCATGTAGTGGTTATATGTCCCCAGAATATATATTACGTGGGCTCTTTTCAATGAAATCAGATGTGTTTAGTTTCGGAGTACTTGTTTTAGAAATAGTGAGTGGACAGAGGAACAGAAAGTTCCGACATCCTAACCATACTCACAACCTTCTTGGGCATGTAAGTTTTTACTAGTGTTTGATCTCTTCATTTTTTGAATTTTCTTCCATATTGATCTCTAATATAAATGTGCTCTCTTAGGCATGGAAACTATGGGTTGAAGGGAATGCCATCAAGCTAGTTGATGAGAAGGTGGAAACTTCAACAATGCTGATGTCAGAAGTAATAAAATGTATACAAATTGGTCTTTTGTGTGTGCAACAACGCCCTGAAGATAGGCCAACAATGTCATCTGTGGTGTCGATGTTGGATAATGAGGGTGCAATGCTGCCCCGTCCTAAACAACCCGGATTCTATACAGAAGGGAGTAGTGATGAGACAGAACTTGCGTCAACTACAGGAATAAAATGTTCCACAAATAAGACGACTCTAACAATTCTACTAGGTCGTTAAAAAATTCCAATTGAAGAACTAATGCTTATGGCTATTATTATTATTATAATTTTTCAATAAGAAAGTTAATACCATATTTGATAATAGCGTTACTAATTATGGATGACAGATGATATATAAGTTTCCTTGTTTGATAGCAAACGAGATAGAATGAATGACCAATTTTTATCGGCCAAAGACTCTCTAATGCTTAAGTCAATAAACTGGTGTGATTTATGCAATCGAGGTGAGAGTTGTTGCATACTTCCTTTGGAGTTAGGGGAGATGGATTTTGGATTGTGATTGCATACTTCCTTTGGAGTTAGGTGAGATGGATTTTGGATTGTGATTGCATACTTCCTTTGGAGTTAGGTAGGATGGATTTTGGATTGTGATCCCTTATTTCTTGTTGTGATGTTATTGTCAATTAATTTTATCTGGTTTTGAGGGTATCACTGTAAAAAAAACTTGACAGAATGTATAATATTTTCTTAGAAAAATCTTAAATCAAATCTTCAATGTGTATAATACATTTCTATTATGTTTATCAAACTTGAACTAAAAACATTCACACATATAAATTTTTTAACTTTACAATTTCTTTTTGCTATTGCTTGAGATAACAGGTTTCATCATAGGTCCAATCATTGATTTTCTTTTCAAAGACACATTAAGGTAGTTAAAAGAACTTAATGATATTTTGGTACAGTTATTTTGTAGACACAACCAGTTGCTATTGCACGGTTTGATAAAAGATGTAGAACTCATGATTTTTTTGTTGGGTGATAAGCGACGGTAAAAGGCCTAATGGTTTGTGATTAGTTTTATAATGTGTCATATGGCGTCCCAGATATGGTAAACAATTTTTAATATTTTATAGAGCTCCACTCAGAAGTACAAAAATTACAACGATTGATATAAAAATAAATAAATAAAATAAAATTTCAAATTTTGCTAAAAGCTTAATTATAGTACACTAACAACAATCACACATTAATCAGTATTAGATAAATAGAAAATAATAATAGTAACGTCATCAAATTTTAAATAAAAATATAAATTTATCCTTACAAAAAAAAAAATTCTTAAAATTTATTTAAAATACGAATTATCTTATGTAATTTTGGAAATTATATTCCGTCTTTTCAAGTTTATAATTGCATAACAAATTCATTTTATTAATGATATCATAAACACATTTCAATTAACAATTTAAATAATTTTATTATTGTATAGAAGAGTAGTTAGAAATTTTATTTTTTATGTTAATTGTATTAAACAAACAATTCAAACAATTGAGTATTTGTAATTTTTCAAATCACAAAAAATAAGTTGTATTTTAATTAAATGTTAGGAGGTGAATTTATAATTGACCCATTTTAATAATTTTAAATAATAATAATAAAAAAGGTTTATTACACTTAATACCTCGAAACTATTGCCAAATGTCTACTTAATTTATGAACTATCGATTGAGTTTACTGAATTCCTAAAATATATAAATCAAAATTGATTTAGTCCTTAAACTATCGATTAAATCTATTAAGTCTCTAAAATATTTAATTCAAACATATTTAATCATTGAAAGTATTACAAAAATAAAATTTAAGCCTATAAATATTATAAATTAATAGAAGATCCTATCCAATTAAAATTTTAATTCAAAAAAATCTTACATTTTTATTTTGTTTTTGAAAAAATAAGAGTCAATTTTTATGATGAATTTTCTTTATAAGGGTAACGATAATTATCTATAGTAATTTTTTTTTACTTATGTATTTATCTTTTTCAAGTATTATATATCACATCACATCACATCTCATTTATAATTTATAATTGATTATTTTTAATTTATTATATGTCACAACAAAGAAAAAAAAGGTAAAAGGAAGGTAGAGAGAAAGGGTTGATGTTGCGATGGTGGTGGCTCTGCGCCACTGTTGGCACTACCGGCGAGTCTAGGAAGAGTTCGTTGGAGTTGGGTGCCTGATCGGAGCTGGGTGGTTGGCTGAAGAAAGGAAAGGAGTTCTGCAAACCAGTGGCCGGAGACTGCCGGAGTTTGGGGTAAGAGTTTGGTTACTTTGGTAATGTGATTAATGGGTAGAATGGTATTTTGAATAAAAACTCTCAATTGTATTTTGAATAATTGTCAATTTTACTTTCTTTCGTGTGTCATATTTTTAAGGGCAAAATTATAAATTTACCCAATGCAGTATGTTAACATCAACTAATTTTATTGATAATTTTTCTTGAAAAACACTAACAATATTATCAATTGGACCAAATTGACGCAAATCTAAAATGAATGATCAAAATTAAGTCAATTGAAAGTGGAAAAACCAAAATGTTACAAAGAGTAAAATACAGGAACCACCGATCTAATTTGCTATTTTTTTAACTATGCAATTTCTATTTGCTATTGCTTGAGTTAACAAATTGCATCCTAGGTCCAATCGTTGATTTTCTTTTCATAAACACAATAAGATAGTCAAAAGAATTTAAGGATAATTTATTATACTGTGTCGCAATGACACAGCCACTTGCTATTGCACAACTTGGCAGAAGAGATTGAATTCACGATTTTCGTTGAGTGATGAGCAACAAGAGAAGGTATAATGATTTGTGATTAATTTGTAATGTGTCATATGATATCCCATATATATTAAACAATTTTTTTATATTTTATAGACCTCCGCTTACAATTATAAAAAACACAACGATTGATATGAAAAATTATATCAAATTTCACGAATTATAGTACACTTACAATTATACGTTAATCAATATTAGATAAATGAAATAATAATAATAATAATAATGTCATCAAATATTGAATATAAATATAAATTTTATCCTTAAAAGTTTATTTTAATACTTTTAAACAATAAAAAAAAAATTAATTGACAAAATTGCACATTCTAGAACTAGTTAAAAGTTACCCAAACCCACCAAAACCTTCACCGTTCCAACCCAACAGTCACACCTACCAATTTCTATCTCTTACATGCATTTTGTCAAACACCTTCACCATATTTGGTTTGTTTGTTGAGAGGTAATTTTTGAGAAATTTTTTTAAAAATTTATGTAGTTGAATTTTTTTTAAAATTTTTTTTAATTACTTTTCTCTCTATTACACATTAATCAATTACTTTTTTTCTCTCCTCACTCATTCTTTTACATTCTACACATCAATCAATTACTTTTTCTCTCACACCTATCTATTCACCTATAAAATATAAAAAAAAAACAAAAAAGGTAAATTATCTAAATGGTCTTATAGTTTACGCGATTTGTCAATTTGGTCATTGTTTTAATTTGTTTGATTTTGCCCCTTAATTTAACGGATTGTGTCATATTGGTTCAATAAATAGTAGCCGTTAGGTTTGGTGGACGAAAACTCAAACGATGTGTCAATTTGGTTCCTGTAGTTTAAACAATATGTCAATTTGGTCTCTGTTAAAATCAAGCAAATTAAAACAACAGGGACCAAATTAACACATCGTGTAAACTACAAAAACCAAATTGACACGTTGTTTAAGCGCGTGACGACTTTTTGTCCACCGAACTTAATGGTCGTTATTTATTAGACCAATATGACACAATCCGTTAAATTAAAAAGCAAAATCGAGCAAATTAAAATAGCATTGATCAAATTGACACATCGTGTAAACTACAAGGATTATTTGCATAATTTACCTAAAAAAAAAAAAAATCATCTGAGGATTGTGATGTCTTGGGTACTTAACCCAATTGAATTTCTATTTAATTCCATTTAAACACCTCATTTTCAAGTGTTTGATTTTAATTTTGAGACCTCGTAATCCGTGTAGAGTCACCACACTTCGTAACTCTCTTGTTTTAATTTTCTAAATTACTTCCGAGTTAAAGATTTGAATTTCGAATGTGAGGTCAGAACAAGAGTGTGGGAAACACCTTAGAAATTGACTTTCAGCCACCAGGTTTTCTCGCACATGCGAATTACTATAAGCGTGGATTGGTTTTCTAGGGACTAGACTGCACGTGCAAAGGCCAGGGCCATATGTACAGTAGGGGTGAGAATGGTCCGGATTGAACCGGATTGAGGTAAAATCAAAACCAATTCGTTATCTACGGTTCCTGAAAAATTGGAACCAATCCAATCCGTTTAAATCGTGGAACCAATCCAAACCAATCCATTTAAACACGGATTGGATCGGTTTAGGACCACGGATTTGCATAATTAAATAAAATATATATATATAACACTTTAATTTCATAAAAATATAATTATAACACCATATTAGTTTCACAATAACAACACATCTTTTCATAATAGCGACATACTGTTCTAGAATTTAAACAACCATAAGAAAACTGGTTCCACCATAAGTATTTATACCATTACAAATTAACATTAAAAACTAGCAAACAAAAATAATAAAAGAAGATATTATGTGACTTTAGGTTTGGATTTAAGTTTTATATAAAATAAGAGAAGATACTATGCAGGAGGGTATATAATAAAAATATAGACTATTTGCATACGGTCCGGATCGGTTCCAATCCGGAACTATGGGATCCAATCCGGAACCAATCCGTGAATTATGAATTTTTAATTTTTCAATCTGGAACCGAACCACGGATTCAAAAAACTAATCAAAACCTATTGGATTGGACTAGACTGGATCGGATTACGGATTTCACGGATTTCTTGCTCAGCCCTAATGTACGGGGATCTGGAGTTAGGATGGGAGTTTCTTTTGCGTGAAAATGCACGTATGGTCTTGGGCCATCGCATGTGCGAGCGAGGTAGTCGCATGTGTGGCCATGGGCTCCGTACATGCAAGGTTTCGCATTTTTGTCCCGATTTTTTAGTCCATTTCACTCAAATCTGATCCCAAAACCCTATTTCTCTCATTTTCATTATACCTCTCTCTACATGTCACTTCTCTCTCTCTCTCTCTCTCTCTCTCTCTCTCTCCACATTTTCTCTACAAACCCCACATTTTCTTTGATTTCTCTCAATCCATTGAGATTTTGACCCTTGTTGTGTGCAGTGGAGATTAGTTTTCGACACTGTCAAGATTTGGGGTTTTTCTCTATTCTGCTCTCCATAGTTTGAGGTAGGGATTTTTTTGAGTTATATATACATTTTAGCAAGCCTATGTTTTTTGTTAATATATATGTGTGTTTTGAGTTAGGATTTGATTAGATGTGGTTGTGATTTGCTCAAATGAGGGTTTTCTCAAATATTTCTTACATAGTTCTCAAATCTTTAAAATATCAAAAATGCTAGAGGCCCCAAAAATTCTACCAAAAGTTTTACCAAATGTCTCACATGGGTGTGGAACCCACATGGGACCCACACACCCACACCCACGTGAGACATTTGGTAAAACTTTTGATAGAATATTTAGAGTCTCTAGCATTACCCTTAAAATATTGGACTGTGGATGATTCGAAGATTTTTTAAGAGAAAACCCCTCTACAAAAATGAGAAACCCAAATTTTTGGAAAAACCCTAGATTCTGG